TGGTGGCTTGACTCATGGTGGCTTGACTCATGGTGGCTTGATTCATGGTGGCTTGATTCATGGTGGCTTGATTCACGGTGGCTTGATTCATGGTGGCTTGACTCATGGTGGCTTGATTCATGGTGGCTTGACTCATGGTGGCTTGACTCATGGTGGCTTGATTCATGGTGGCTTGACTCATGGTGGCTTGATTCATGGTGGCTTGACTCATGGTGGCTTGATTCATGGTGGCTTGATTCATGGTGGCTTGATTCATGGTGGCTTGACTCATGGTGGCTTGATTCATGGTGGCTTGATTCACGGTGGCTTGATTCATGGTGGCTTGATTAATGGTGGCTTGATTCATGGTGGCTTGACTCATGGTGGCTTGATTAATGGTGGCTTGATTCATGGTGGCTTGACTCATGGAGGCTTGACTCATGGTGGCTTGACTCATAGTGGCTTGATTCATGGTGGTTTGACTCATGGTGGCTTGATTCATGGTGGCTTGACTCATGGTGGCTTGATTCAAGGTGGCTTGACTCATGGTGGCTTGATTCATGGTGGCTTGATTCATGGTGGCTTGATTCATGGTGGCTTGACTCATGGTGACTTGACTCATGGTGGCTTGATTCATGGTGGCTTGATTCATGGTGGCTTGACTCATGGTGGCTTGATTCATGGTGGCTTGATTCATGGTATCTTGATTCATGGTATCTTGATTCATGGTGGCTTGATTCATGGTGGCTTGATTCATGGTGGCTTGACTCATGGTGGCTTGATTCATGGTGGCTTGATTCATGGTGGCTTGACTCATGGTGGCTTGACTCATGTGGCTTGATTCATGTGGCTAGATTCATGGTGGCTTGATTCATGGTGGCTTGATTCATGGTGGCTTGATTCATGGTGGCTTGACTCATAGTGGCTTGATTCATGGTGGCTTGATTCATGGTGGCTTGATTCATGGTGGCTTGATTCATGGTGGCTTGACTCATGGTGGCTTGATTCATGGTGGCTTGATTCATGGTGGCTAGATTCATGCTGGCTTGATTCATGCTGGCTTGACTCATGGTGGCTTGACTCATGGTGGCTTGATTCATGGTGGCTTGACTCATGGTGGCTTGATTCATGGTGGCTTGATTCATAGTGACATGACTCATGGTGGCTTGATTCATGGTGGCTTGACTCATGGTGGCTTGACTCATGGTGGCTTGATTCATGGTGGCTTGACTCATGGTGGCTTGATTCATGGTGGCTTGATTCATGGTGGCTTGATTCATGGTGGCTTGATTCATGGTGGCTTGATTCACGGTGGCTTGACTCATGGTGGCTTGACTCATGGTGGCTTGATTCATGGTGGCTTGACTCATGGTGGCTTGATTCATGGTGGCTTGACTCATGGTGATATGACTCATGGTGGCTTGATTCATGGTGGCTTGAATCATGGTGGCTTGATTCATAGTGGCTTGATTCATGGTGGCTTGATTCATGGTGGCTTGATTCATGGTGGCTTGACTCATGGTGGCTTGATTCATGGTGGCTTGATTCATGGTGGCTTGACTCATGGTGGCTTGATTCATGGTGGCTTGACTCATGGTGACATGACTCATGGTGGCTTGATTCATGGTGGCTTGACTCATGGTGGCTTGACTCATGGTGGTTTGATTCATGTGGCTTGATTCATGGTGCTTGATTCATGGTGGCTTGATTCATGGTGGCTTGATTCATGGTGGCTAGATTCATGGTGGCTTGACTCATGGTGGCTTGATTCATGGTGGCTTGATTCATGGTGGCTTGACTCATGGTGGCTTGATTCATGGTGGCTTGACTCATGTGACATGACTCATGGTGGCTTGATTCATGGTGGCTTGACTCATAGTGGCTTGACTCATGGTGGCTTGATTCATGGTGGCTTGATTCATGGTGGCTTGATTCATGGTGGCTTGATTCATGGTGGCTTGATTCATGGTGGCTTGATTCAAGGTGGCTTGATCATGGTGGCTTGATTCATGGTGGCTTGATTCATAGTGGCTTGATTCATGGTGGCTTGACTCATGGTGGCTTGACTCATGGTGGCTTGATTCATGGTGGCTTGATTCATGGTGGCTTGATTCACGGTGGCTTGATTCATGGTGGCTTGACTCATGGTGGCTTGATTCATGGTGGCTTGACTCATGGTGGCTTGACTCATGGTGGCTTGATTCATGGTGGCTTGACTCATGGTGGCTTGATTCATGGTGGCTTGACTCATGGTGGCTTGATTCATGGTGGCTTGATTCATGGTGGCTTGATTCATGGTGGCTTGATTCATGGTGGCTTGACTCATGGTGGCTTGACTCATGGTGGCTTGATTCATGGTATCTTGATTCATGTAGTGAGCTTAGTGTGTGAGTTGTGACATGACTGTAGTGAGCTGAGTGTGTGAGTTGTGACATGACTGTAGTGAGCTGAGTGTGTGAGTTGTGACATGACTGTAGTGAGCTGAGTGTGTGAGTTGTGACATGACTGTAGTGAGCTGAGTGTGTGGGTTGTGACATGACTGTAGTGAGCTGAGTGTGTGAGTCGTGACATGACTGTAGTGAGCTGAGTGTGTGAGTCGTGACATGACTGTAGTGAGCTGAGTGTGTGAGTTGTGACATGACTGTAGTGAGCTGAGTGTGTGGGTTGTGACATGACTGTAGTGAGCTGAGTGTGTGAGTTGTGACATGACTGTAGTGAGCTGAGTGTGTGGGTTGTGACATGACTGTAGTGAGCTGAGTGTGTGAGTCGTGACATGACTGTAGTGAGCTGATGTGTGGGTTGTGACATGACTGTAGTGAGCTGAGTGTGTGAGTTGTGACATGACTGTTTGTGAGCTGAGTGTGTGGGTGTGACATGACTGTAGTGAGCTGAGTGTGTGAGTTGTGACATGACTGTAGTGAGCTGAGTGTGTGGGTTGTGACATGACTGTAGTGAGCTGAGTGTGTGGGTTGTGACATGACTGTAGTGAGCTAAGTGCCTGAGTTGTGACATGACTGTAGTGAGCTGAGTGTGTGAGTCGTGACATGACTGTAGTGAGCTGAGTGTGTGAGTTGTGACATGACTGTAGTGAGCTGAGTGTGTGAGTTGTGACATGACTGTATTGAGCTGAGTGTGTGAGTTGTGACATGACTGTAGTGAGCTGAGTGTGTGAGTTGTGACATGACTGTAGTGAGCTGAGTGTGTGGGTTGTGACATGACTGTAGTGAGCTGAGTGTGTGAGTTGTGACATGACTGTATTGAGCTGAGTGTGTGAGTTGTGACATGACTGTAGTGAGCTGAGTGTGTGGGTTGTGACATGACTGTAGTGAGCTGAGTGTGTGGGTTGTGACATGACTGTAGTGAGCTGAGTGTGTGGGTTGTGACATGACTGTAGTGAGCTGAGTGTGTGGGTTGTGACATGACTGTAGTGAGCTGAGTGTGTGAGTTGTGACATGACTGTAGTGAGCTGAGTGTGTGAGTTGTGACATGACTGTATTGAGCTGAGTGTGTGAGTTGTGACATGACTGTAGTGAGCTGAGGGTGTGAGTTGTGACATGACTGCAGTGAGCTGAGTGTGTGGGTTGTGACATGACTGTAGTGAGCTGAGTGTGTGAGTTGTGACATGACTGTAGTGAGCTGAGTGTGTGAGTTGTGACATGACTGTAGTGAGCTGAGTGTGTGAGTTGTGACATGACTGTAGTGAGCTGAGTGTGTGAGTTGTGACATGACTGTAGTGAGCTGAGTGTGTGGGTTGTGACATGACTGTAGTGAGCTGAGTGTGTGGGTTGTGACATGACTGTAGTGAGCTGAGTGTGTGAGTTGTGACATGACTGTATTGAGCTGAGTGTGTGAGTTGTGACATGACTGTAGTGAGCTGAGTGTGTGAGTTGTGACATGACTGTAGTGAGCTGAGTGTGTGGGTTGTGACATGACTGTAGTGAGCTGAGTGTGTGAGTTGTGACATGACTGTAGTGAGCTGAGTTTGTGAGTTGTGACATGACTGTAGTGAGCTGAGTGTGTGAGTTGTGACATGACAGCAGTTGATTGTCAACGAAAAGTTTGGCAAATAAAATCGTTGCAGCTTTCAAGGTGAAGACCCATCAAGGAAAGTTCCTTGATGCTGGTGAGGGGATCTTGATCTAGGGAATTGGATCTGTGCTCCAGTTCCCTGAATTAAGCCCGAATTCCGTCCACATCCCCCCACAGGCACTGCATAATCCTACGTGTTTAGCGTTACCCCTCGTTTTTAATCATAATGAACGTAATTGCTTCGTTACCAACACTTGATAACGATAGATCCTTCTACAATGAATATATTTTTCATTCGGGACTTTTCCCCGAATATTGGGACTTCACAGGCACTTAAAAAATGTCCACGGGTAGGCAAAGAGGTCGTACATGTGCAGGTGTTGGCTGTTTGAGTTGTTTTAGTTGTGTTGAGTGTTGTATACAAAGTTGAGTTGTGTGGTCTCTATGGATCACTGCCAATTCTTTCTGTTTACCCATTGACAATGGTAATAGATGCAGTTTTGTTTATGAATGGTAGACATTACCGACAAGAGGATGAATTGGACACGTTAGACACCCAGATGCTGCACGAGTCTAATTCTTCTTTCAGTTGTAATGTTGCACGAGCGTTTCCTTCCTTTATATAGAACAATGACTATCTCATAGAACTAATTGGGATGATTAAAAAAAAAAAAACTAGGCATAACAGAGGTTGGGGGCAACGTTTTGATCTGTTAGACTTCATCAAGAAATAAATCTCTGTACAGAGTGACACCTCATCCAGGTACAGGTTTCTTCTTCAAACTGTTTCTTCCGTCTCATTATTTTCTACACTAAGTCATTTGGATGAATCATTAAGTCATGCTACGACACTATGTGGGTTCTTGTTTGTGCTGGGTACTTATTTACCGCAATATTCATTTCGCTATCACGTACATGACTTAAATTACAACAAGAAGGGGAAATTTTGGTCTATAAATCCATCACAATTCTTGCATCTTTTTCCTCTCCAGGTGCAGCTGTTGGCATCTTAGGGGTGACCTCGACGCGGGTGTGGAAGTGATCCGAGCAGTAGCATGGAGGTGTTGACACTAGCTGGCTCGCGAGCACCGCACCAAGACGTGCCCATGGACCTCACCACCGGCAGCCGTCCTAAGCTCGTGCTTCACCACTCGTGGCCTCGTCTCAGGAAGGATCCCAAGTGCGCCTTGGAGCCAAGCACCAAGCTGACTACCCATGCTATGCTCAGCGCTTCGCCTGCCACTGCCAGCCGCTATATCCCTATCCCCAAGAAGAGGCACTGCCAGGCTAGAGCTTCCCCACCTTCCCCACCAGACTCCCCGTTTCCTAAATCCCAGTCCCCATGGATAAGCAGTTATTCTCCGCCAACTTCCACAGTCTGGGATACGTCAAATACATATTCGCCTGAAGTCGCTAGAAAAAAAGCAAGGATTGAATCTCCCCAACCATCAGATTTAGCTTACGAATCTAATTTCCGGCCACCATCAGCTGAAGAAAAGAACGATGCTACCACTAACAGTAGCAGTAGCAGTAGCGGGGGCGTCAGTAGCGACAAGCGCCGGGAGTTAGGGGCGGGGCCAGCTAGTGGTAATGGTGATAGAGTGGAGGCCGGAGAAGTCTTAAGTCAGTCAGTCATGAGGCCGCGACAGAGCCAGTGCTCGCCACTTGTCGAGAGTTCCTTGCTCGGCAGCAGTACTCGGATAGCAGTGAGTGAGAGAGACGGTGTTCCAGGGAGCCACCTGCTCACAGCTCTCCTCCACCTCCAGACTTCGACGATTTCCCAGGGGATGCTGCCCCCGGCCGCCCTGAAGGACACAGAAGCACTGCTGGCTGCAGTGCATCAGTCACAGATGCTTTACTACACCTACTGCTCCCAGCTTATCCAGAACCTGCAGGCCAAGCAGCTGGAGCAACACCATCACCACCTGCAGGCCAAGCAGCTGGAGCAAAACCTGCAGGCCAAACAGCTGGAACAACATCTGCAGGCCAAACAGCTGGAGCAACACCAGATGCATCAACACACTCGTCTCGACTACGAGACAGAGCTGGAAACTTACACTCGACTCGAGGACAACAAGTCTGATAATTACGAGGACGAGACCGAGGAAGATTTAAACGTAACAGAAGAGGACCGGCTTACAGGTCTCGCCTCCATCTTAAGAGCGAGACTAAACAGCCAGGTGAGGCTACGAATCTTGTTAGTTAAGTTAACCTCTTAGCCATACAGCCTTCACCTGCACGTGGGTCACAGAGGACGCCGTCCACCCCACCACTCATATCAACAATAATTTTACTCATAAAGAAGAGGATGTAAAATTTGTTCGCGTGCGTGTGTGTGTGTGTGTGTGTACTCACCTATTTGTGGTTGCAGGGGTCGAGACTCAGCTCCTGGACCCGCCTCTTCACTAATCGCTACTAGGTCCTTTCTCTCTCTGCTTCATGAGCTTTATCATACCTCGCCTTAAAACTATGTATGGTTCCTGCCTCCACTACGTTACTTTCTAGGCTATTCCACTGCCTGACTACTCTATGACTGAAGAAATACTTCCTAACATTCCTTTGACTCATCTGAGTCTTCAACTTCCAATTGTGACCCCTTGTTTCTGTGTCCCGTCTCTGGAACATCCTGTCTCTGTCCACCCTATCTACTCCTCTCAGTATTTTGTATGTCGTTATAATGTCTCCTCTAACCCTCTTATATTCCAGTATCGTCAGGCCGATTTCCCTTAACCTTTCTTCGTAGGACATTCCCCTTAGCTCTGGAACTGGCCTTGTTGCGAACCTTTGCACTTTCTCTAATTTCTTGATATGCTTGACCAGGTGTGGGTTCCAAACTGGTTCTGCATACTCCAGAATGGGCCTGACGTACACGGTGTACAGAGTCTTGAACGATTCCTTACTGAGGCATCGGAATGCTATTCTCAGATTTGCCAGGGGCCCATATTCTGCAGCGGTTATTTGGTTGATATGTGCTTCCGGAGATGTGCTCGGTATTATACTCACCCCAAGATCTTTCTCCTTGAGTGAAGCTTGCGGTTTCTGGCCATCTAGCCTATATTCTGTCTGAGGTCTTCTTTGCCCTTACCCGATCTTCGTGACTTTGCATTTAGCGGGGTTAAATTCAAGGAGCCAGTTGCTGGACCACTCGTCCAGCCTGTCCAGATCTCTTTGCAGTCCTGCCTGGTCCTCATATGATTTAATTCTCCTCATTAACTTCACATCGTCTGCGAATAGGGACACTTCAGAGTTTTTCTCTTCCATCTGTCATTCACATATACCAAAAGTAACACTGGTCCTAGGACTGACCCCTGTGGGACCCCGCTCGTCACAGGCGCCCACTATGATACCTTATCACGTACCATGACTAGTTGTTGCTTCCCTGTCAGGCATTTTCTGATCCATTGCAGTACCCTTCCTGTTATACGTGCCTGATCCTCTAGCTTCTGCACTAATCTCTTGTGAGGAACTGTGTCGAAGGCCTTCTTATAGTCCAAGAAAATGCAGTCAACCCACTCCTCTATCTCGTATCTTACTTCTGTTACCATGTCATAAAATACCAGTAGGTTTGTTACACAGGATTTGCATTCCATGAATCTGTGCTGGTTGTCGTTTATAATCTAGTTCCGTTCCAGGTGCTCCATCACTCTCCTCCTGATAATCTTCTCCGTGACTTTGCATACTATACACTTCAGTGAGACTTGTCTGTAGTTTAGTGCCTCGTCTCTGTCTACTGTCTTAAAAATGGGGACTACATTTGCCGTCTTCCAGTTTCAATGGATGTGTCGAAAATTGTGGTTAGTGGCACGCACAGCATCTCTGCTCCCTCTCTAAGGACCCACGGAGAGATGTTGTCCGGTCCCACCGCCTTTAAGGTATCAAGGTCACTTAGCAGCTTCTTCACCTCCTCCTCGGTTGTGTGTATTTCATCCAACACTTGTTGGTCTGTCCCTTGTTAATGTACCCCTCTGTTCTAGCCTCACAGAGTCCTTTCTGTCTCCACTGTAAATACTTCCTTAAATTTCGCATTGAGCTCCTCACATACTTCTTGATCGTTTCTTGTGAGCTTCCCATCTTCTTTCCTCAGCCTGATCACCTGGTCCTTGACTGTTTTCTTCCTCCTGATGTGGCTATATAACAGCTTCGGATCAGACTTGACTTTCGATGCAATGTTGTCTTCGTACTGTTGCTGGGCCTCCCTCCTTATCTGTGCATACTCGTTTCTGGTTCTTCGACTGATCTCTTTATTTTCCTGGGTCCTTTGTCTCCTGTACATTTTTCATTCTTTAGTGCACTTAGTTTTTGCCTCCCTACACCTTCGGGTTAACCAAAGACTCGTTCTAGTCTTCCCATTATTTCTGTGTGTGTGTGTGTGTGTGTGTGTGTGTGTGTGTGTGTGTGTGTGTGTGTGTGTGTGTGTGTGTGTGTGTGTGTGTGTGTGTGTGTGTGTGTGTGTGAGGGGTGGCAGGCTCAGACAACACACAGTGAAAAATACACAGTGACAACTTTATTAGTGGGACAGAGATAGTACACAGTGCCTTGTTCAGTAACAGTTGTTTCTCCGGGTGGTTATCTTGGCTTCACTATACCCCGGATAATCACTGTTGCAGTATCTCTAGAAACTAGTTCATTAATATCCATTGCATCACTGTCACAGCTATTTATAAAGCTATGTCACTGGGCATTCCCATATTATGGATGCAGTTTCTCACAACACTGTCACCAATTATCACTGCTACACCTTCACGTAACGCAAAGTCATTGTTTACAATGTTGCAGACCCCATGTGACAAATCACTGTCACAATATCACCAAATGTGAAGATCTGATACCAGGTGTGAAGACCTGATACCAAATGTGTAGATCTGATACCAGTTACTCCTAAGTTGGGGAAGGGGGCATTGAGAACTAGTTGTTCACTAGCATTTAGTACCGTATGTTTCCACTGGTCATGGCCTGGACACCCATTGACCAACCAGATAAGGGACACTGATGAGCAACTACTTGCACATGTGATCAGTAACAGGCCCTAGGTGTCCCCTGCACTGATGTTCTGTCATGTTGCATAGTGCCCTGTTGTCTTGTCCTGGGTTTTCCTTGTTGTTTGACGACAGCCTGTCAGCCGGCGAATAAATTAACGAAGGACCTAGTTGGAAGTGAGTGGAGAAGTGGGGAAGAGGAGAATAACAGTTTTGACGAGACGAAATATTACCTAGTGTAGGAGAAACTGTCAAGATTTAACTCAGCTATTGATTGATTTGTAAAGGCCTTTTTTGGCAAGTTGCAGTTTAACGGTGACCTGTGAGGTTTAAGCATACCTAAGAAGGCAATTAGAACGTTGGGTGCATTTATTTGAAAACTGGGAGATCTATGGAAAGTGGAATAGGACATACGTGTTACTAGGTTTCCGTATAACTTCCCGTGTTTCCACAAGCCTACCATTTATCTCTTCCCGTCTATCCACAAGCTTATCAAGTCTCTCTTTCTGATGTCCATGTACCATAGTCCGTCTCTGGTCTACCGAGTTTGCTTTGTCACCAACAGTTTTCCAATTAACGTTTAGATCCAAGATATTTGCCCTAGCAAGAAAGGGGCTCGCTGGTGATGAGGCCCTGCTGCACCTAGTGCCAAATAGCCAGCGCAGTGCCTTGCTCTGGATACGTTGCAGATTTAAGAGATTTGTCTTGGGTGTGAGAGAGTGCAAGCGGTGTGTAAGTTATGTATGAGAGGTCGAGTGAGCGCTTTGTGGAGTGACACTCTTACCTAGATCTGAGCTCCACGTAGTTTGTGGACTCTGATAACTGCTTTCTTAGTTACTGATTGCACAAGTTTACTGAGGCTGTACATACGCAAGTGTTTATCTAATTTAATACCTAGTACTGTGGTGTTACTGGTTGATGGCTTGTATGTGCGTATTCGATTTGTTAGCATTTGTTTTGTTGCGTCATTCATGTTCGCCAGAAATGATAGTGGTAACTTTGCTTTGTGTTGTGCGAGTGTTTGTGTTTCTAGTGAGATCATTTCAGCGATTATCTGCATAAGAGATGATGTTTGTGTTGATGTGTAAGACACATGTACAACGCTATGTATCTGTATTGATGATATGTTTTGCCTATAGTACCGACTTTATCAGTCGAGTACAAGAATAAATTATAGTCTTGAGGGACAGTGGACGAAGCAGAGACGTAGTCTCAGGTAATCAGTCCCTTAACTTTGATGGAAGAAATCCCGAAGAAAGTAGAGGAAGTGGAGACAGATTCCGAGATATGACAAGAGGTGGTTGTGGATTTTATTGGGTAGATCTCATACGATGGGCAATGTTTCCTTCTTCAGGAGCTTTGTCAAGCCATAATGGCTTTACAAAGCTCCAGGAGAACGAAGCATTACCACGATAAAATGTCACATTAGTTACACTTGTGGCCTTTTACCTAACCTCCGTACTGTATCTGTGCGCGTCTGATACGTAAAAGAGAGTGAGTCTCTAACCTGACAACGATGGGAAGACGGCCAGAACCCTTAACGTAGCTTGATAGAAAATTTATTACGGTGCAACTTGTACCTACGTTGTTGCCAGCGGTTGCAGAGTTGTTGAGAGCACTGGAATATAGTACGAGAAAGGAATATTATTGTCGTAAATCGGGAGGTCCTGAATACCTGACAAGGCCCTGAATTTGCTTGCTCATTGCCCTGGATACCAACGTGTCCAGGGGTAAAGTAAAACCAACTTCTTTGTATTTACTAGTAATGTAACATTATCAAAGTCATACACGAAGGACGATGGGATAAAGGAAGTCTAATTTCTGGAGAACTTGTAATGCACTTTGACCATCCATAAGCAGTGGTCGACTCTAGTAAATGACATGGGGTTATTTATTCAAGAAAAACAGCTGTATAGCGGCACTGTCAGGGGGGATTAGGAACAGCAGTGTATCCTGTAATAGCATGAGAATCAGACTGGAAGTGTTCAAGAACGAGTGAGCTGTAAAGTTGTAGCAGGCAACTGAACTTTTGCACATGGAAGCGGGATGGAGTAACTATGAATCGTCAGAACCCTTAAAGGAGAAAGGGAAAAGTAATATGCAGAGTAGACATAAAAGAAAGGTAAACGAAGCAAAGCCAATAGAGAATGAATTTGGAGAGGAAAAGTGCGTAATAAATGGGGGCGACGATTAAACAAATCAGC